TAGTAAGGCCCTTGTTACTAGTAGCGATGCACTTGTTACTAGTAGCTTCTTGTTACTACTAGTAAGGCCCTTGTTACTAGTAGCGATGCTCTTGTTACTAGTAGCTTCTTCTTACTACTAGTAAGGCACTTGTTACTAGTAGCGATGCACTTGTTACTAGTAGCTTCTTGTTACTACTAGTAAGGCACTTGTTACTATGTCGTTTTCTGTATTCTACATAGGCTTAACAAAAAGGAACCTGACGTGCTGAGCCCATGGCCCATGTCTGCCTCCATCTCTTCCTGGTGGGCGTGCCAAATGACGTGCAAACATGAGATTGGCTGTGGCTCCCAATTTGTTCTGATAGGAAATACAGGACACGTGTGAATTGAGGCACGGAGGAGACTATAGAATTGGTACGCACAATCGAATTATGTAGAATGTAGATGCATGAAAGATATGCACGTAGGCAAAGACAACACAAGCCTGTGTGTAGCACCCACCCCGCTCTAAAAAATACACAATTATATACAAAGAACATCAAAGACATTACATTGACTGGCTAACAAACAAACAAACAGACAGACAGAACAGAATAGAACAAAACAGAACAGAACAGAAAAGAGAAGAAACAAACAAACAAACAAACGGACTCAAGGACGTGCAAACGGAAGCACGGATGGAGGCATTGCGCATGGAGGGAGACGGAAGGACGGAAGGATGGAAGGGCAGAAGGAAGGATGAATGGATGAGTAAACGACCCGATGTTGTAAAAGTTCGACTTCCAACTTCCAACTAATATGTGTATAAATATTTATATATATATAATACATTCAAGCTGTACATATTTTTATGTATACATTGTTTGTCTCAGCTACGATCCAAAATACACTGGCGGCTTCAATGTTCTTCTTCTGCCCACGCAAGATCTGTTCGGCAACGTCGTGTTCCCTAAAGAGAGGGAACCAGTCGCTGCAAGATATGGTTTCTTTAAAATCTATTTATTAACTTATATATAGGTTATATATATATATACAGTACGTCATTCTCAGCGACAGAATGATCAGCGTTCTTTCAGCACAGTTACTAGCACAGTTCGCCACAAGCTGTGGGCCCTCACGAAGGTGGGTCGCTTGTCAGGCAAGTACCTGGGTGCTGCGTCAAGGTTTCAAGGCCGACAAGGTTTATGGGATGCGGGTTGTTACAAAGAATTTCGATTTACTGTGACAATAATTCACATCATGTGCACCTCATTCACGAGATCAGCTGAGGTCTTTGCTGATTTTGACCCTCAGCACGAATGACCTGTTGATGTACAGTAAGCTTATGTGACTGACAAGCAGGAACAGTGAGACTCTATGTTTGCCAGTTGGGGGTATGCACTGCACAAACACTACAATAACTATGCATTCGCAAGGCTGACAAAAATGTCAGGAAACTCAACCGCAAAACTTGCCAGTGCGACACGTCTCTTCATCTTCTCCCAGTGAATGAAGCTGCTTTTGGCCTGCCAGCCAGCCCAGCCCTTCTCTCTGAAAAACAATGTTGTGCTTCAAATGGCATCTTGTTCGACGTCCGTCAGGCAAATACGAATGAAAAGGTCGTGAGTCATGACTCTTAAAGAATGCAAGACTCAAAGGGTCCTCGTCCGCATCAAGCTCCAAAAGCCTGCTGAGCATCATCCATTCCTGCGCAGTTTTCATATTAATGTTGTTATATTCATATCCATATTTATATGCTGTGTATATATATATACAGGGAGAGAGAGAGAGAGAAAGAAAAAGACACACTTCAAATACACAAGCAACATCAACCAACCCTGGTCAGACTTAATCATATCTCATTCGGATATTTTGGCAATTCGCTTCCTGGCACAAACCATTGACAGCACCAGGTGGCACCCCGGACTATACCAGCATGAGGTCATCAGGCTTGACACTCGGCTTGGCATTGCTGTGGGAGCTTTGCATAGCTGTGCTACATTCTGAGAACTTGCGCTCCAAACCTGGAAGGTGATCTCCGTGGTCAAGTCGACCGACTTCGTGTGCGCGGAGACGCGCTGGGCCTGCTGCGCCTGCGCCTGCAGAACTGGTGCGGATGCTGTCGCCGACCATCTCCTGTCTTTGATCCTTTTTGCATCTGTACTACTTGGTGACTCTATACTACAGTAATCTACTGTAATTATGTGTGCGCTGGCACTTGGCAAACAAGTATCGGATATCGTCTCAGGCTGAGAGGATGTCAAAAGAACTATGAATGCCGACGAAGCAATCCGATGGAGGCTTTTCATCCCGGCTGCTGAGGTGCTGCCCGAGTCAGGTGAAACCCTTCGTGCAAACTACGTCAGGGAGAAGCAATAAACTTTAAATCTGCAGTTCACAGATCTGATAGGAACTCCACCAAGCATACAACACTGCAATCAATGAAGCTGATAGAAAAATACCCATAGCACGTCACGTGACTGACCTGCCACTTCCCAGAATGTGGCCGCTATGCTCCGCTCAATTTCCATCGCGCTTTCTCGCACGCACCCTTGCCTGGCGCACAATGCCAATGTCAAGTCCAGTAAACCCTTTCGAGACATCCTCTCGCTGTTCTCATCGCACTCTTTGCTTCGTGCGATGTTGCAGCAGGCCTCCGCCTCATTTTTCCGCTTTTCTCTATCCTCTGCAAAGTTTGTTGCTGGGTCGTCCTCATTGCCATCCCCCTGTCTTGAAGTTGGACGGCCTTGGTGGGAAATGCTTCGCAGCTTCAAGCTGTCAAGTGTCTTCGTAGTATTTGCTCAGGGGGCACGGGTGAAGTGTGAGTCCTGTTGGACGCAAGCAGCCAAACTCGTTATATAAAGTATTATGCTTACTTGACCAGGTTTGTAGTGTGGTGCGGCCATCATGGCTACATATGCGTGTGCCACAGCAACGGTTTATTCCAACCATGCTGCCAGCAGCTTGAGCATCACTCGCTTGTGCTCTGCAGTTGTCTTTCAAAAAGCTATGGTTGTTGAGGAGGTTTTTCTGCTCCTTCAGCAAATGCCAAATGTTCAAACATTCCGCATTGCAATATTCAATCTGACCTGTGAGAAGAAAACGACAGAAATCGGTGCAGGGACACAAAGAGCACACATTACGCAAATGGCCTCATTCTCCACCTTTTCGAAATCTCTGAAGGTCTTCCGATTGATTTTCCCAGCATTGATCCTCAAATGTTCACCATGCGTTGAACTGCACTGCAGATTTGGACCTCAAATATGCCCATGTCAAACGAAGTGCATAATACAAATTGAGCTGTACTCTGTGTGTGTGTGTATGCACGCACGTATTTCATCATACATCTATAGAGATTATAAAGTCTGTAATAGAGGACTTTCTCACGTTGCTTGCATTGGCCTTTCTCATCATACAACTCAAAACTTGCACGCAAAAAAGGCCAAGGCTCTGGTCAGAGACTCTCTTGATGAACTTCCTTACCCCAACCTCGAGCTTCTTGAAAAAGACCGGCAGGTCCTCCGGCTTGTCAACCTCAATCGAATGTTTTGAGCGCTAACAAGGCACAGCAGCATAGGTTTCATCCAGGTCACCTTCGCTGGCTCTTCGAACTTGGCGAGAACCCCTCCCATCCGGGCCTTGAATGTGCCACGGCAAGGGCAAGGTGTCATATTGCAGCATTCGCAGCGAACAGCTGGAGCTTTCAACGGGACTGTGCTGGAATTCTCTCAAATGCGCCAGCTCTTCGAAACAAGCCACAGCCCAACGCTTCATGTGCTCTGACTGTATAGTTATCTTTTGCAAGCGCACGCGGCAGGCCTGGCGGATCAAGTGAGTGGATGGTCCAACGCGCTGAAGCAAGAACAATAGTCCCGACCTCTTGTTCTTCAATAGCTTCGTTCAGCTTCTGCTCTTCCTGCTCAAGCTCCTGGGTTGAAGGAACATGCCGGTCCTTCTGAGGGTTGGTACTGTGACCAAATTTGACTCCGTGACAAGTTACTTTGTGCAAGGCCATGGGGTCATCTGTGCTGTTCACGGGAAGACCTGCAAAAGCAAATCAACAGCTAGCAAGATGCGCCCAACTGGATGCACTGCCAATTCAATTCAAGATCATGTTAATCATAGATTTTGATGCCAGTCCCGTTCGCCATCGACAAGACAAAGAGCAGGCGGTCCAGCGATGTCAACAAAAAACTGGCCAGGCAAGGCCTTCCATTTCTTTCTTTAGCTTTTCGTTCTTGTGCAAGAGCGCCTGGCAGAAATGGAACCAGCCCCTGCCCCCTGCATGCAAGCCAGCTATTGCACCTCCAAGGTCAACTCTGCTTCTTTTACAGATTTCTTGAGCTGCTCCTGCCGTTGCAATCGAGCAACAAAAATCAACAAAACGGAAAGTCATGTTCATTGATTGTCCTTCAGCGCCTTCGGTTCGGACAGCTTTTTCGACAAGTGCTAAGGTTGCAAACAGGCCATGACACACCTGTTCAACATCTCTGTTCAAGAACTTGTGCACAATGTCCATCACCTTCAGATTTCGAAGGAGCTTGTGAATTTTGAGGAAGCTGACGTCTGGTGTCAACCATGATGGCTTGCACATGCTCTATCCGCTCAATCCCTAAAGGCCAAAGGGCCCGCAACTGGTGGCCCAGAAGTTTGCCCTATGAGAATTGGGAGTGCGCCACCCATCCCAGAATTAGAGTAGAATCTATGCGAACGCATGTCTTAAGACAAGGCACATCCGCTAAACCAGTGACGTCGCGGATCTTTTGAAAGTTGTCTTCAGTGGTTTGTGAGCGCTCCACCTGTTCAAAGGTCGTCTTCTGCAAGAAATTCCTAAGCTTCAAACACATGGAGTTGCAGAATCAGCCTCCGCTGGGCCAAAAATGGTAGAAAGATTGAGGAGCAGCTTCTTGTTACTAGTAGCTACTTGCTCCTAGTAGTAGTGCCCCTGTTACTAGGTCGCGATGCCCTTGTTACTAGTAGCTACTTGTTATAGCTACTTGTTACTACTTGCAAGACTGTGACCTGTCTGACAGGCACCAAAAAAGGAAGTTGCAGCTTCGCCACCCCGAGAGCTTCTCAATGGCATACAGCTTCCGGAGCCGGCCGGCAGAGGTGTTGAAGGCCTCGTTGGCTGCATCCAGTGCCACCTGGAAACCGCGCATCCATCTGGAACACCAAATCCAAGCGCACCAAAAAACGCAAACATGTAGGTCCTCATGTCCCCAATGGTTCTGAATGGTTCTATTGGTCCACTGGCACTTTCAGATTCAACGTCCCCGGTTCTTTCTGCTGGGTTCGCAGTGTTGTCACTGGCCTCATGCCGCCAGCTTTCAAAGTCTGCACGCCTGTAAGCAGAGAAAGTGGGGATGGAGTGCTTGAATTTGCGAATGTCTTCGCAACAGCAAGGACAGTGTGGCAGACTGATCCATCATTTGCAAAAGTTTGTTCAGCAAACGAGCAAATATAATGTGCCTGTATTGAAGATATGCCATGACAATTTAAGACCTTTTTGTCCACCACACCTGGTCACCAAACATCTACCGCCAATGTCCGCCTTCCGTTTGCCTCCTTCCGCTTCTCAAACTCTCCTTGGCGAATGAGACGATTGCAGCCGCATGGTATCCAAAATCAAGTAAAAAACAAGCAGGACGAGCTTTTGTGCACATGCTGCTGTAACACGGTGCGAGAAGAATGGTTGTGCGCCATATGGGCCGTTTCTATCGGTTCTCAATGTCAACGGTAAGTGGAGTGAACAACAATAGCTCCCGCCATGCCACCGTTGATGGCCTCCAATGCCGATTTGCAAACATCACGCTCCCTGGTTGCCTGTGGAACGCAATGAAGCAAGCACACTCCGTTTTGATGCAAGAATTGAACAATCTCTCCTCTCTCTCCATCGCCCCAGGAGATTAGCCAAAAGAATTGAACAATGTGACATTGGTTCCGCAGCCTCAGACCCCACACGGTAGGGGAAGTAGTCTTACAGTCTTGCCCAACCAGAGCAAAGTTAGTTCCAGCCTCTTCGCTGTAGTTCTCTAAGGTCTGATGAATCTGGACTCTTGCACACCTGCAAGTTCGGGTGTCAAGGATCATGGGGAGAGGTGGAATCAACAAAGGTCCATGAATAAGGCTTCTAGATTCTAGAGACGCAGCAAAAGGATAAGACCATGGCCTACCTCCAAGGCCTGCAGTATAACTTCTACACTCAACTTGGCGTTGTGCGCCAGTACAAGTAGCTCATCTGCCTCGCTTGTTCACTTTCTGTGCGTTTCTGCTGGAGTTCTCGCTTTTTCCGATCCAAGTGTTCCTGGCAGCAGTCAAATAAGGACTGCGTGAGTAAGTGCACAAGCCGAACTAACAGGTTTTGGAAGGGCATTCAATCGAAGACATAAATGCATTGTTGAGGAGAATTAAGCAGCGGTCCTCCATTTGGAAGAGCTTCTGCTTCAAGATTGCCTGCTCTCTTTGGGTGCGCTTCAGCATGTGCTGGTAAACTTTCTTGCTCTGCAAGGAGTCCTGCCAAACCACTTGTCAGGTAAAATGCAACCGCAATCAGACAATTCCGCAATCAGACTAATCAGGTCAGCGCTTGCAGCACACACAAGTCTTTACAACGCAAACTGCTAAAGCATGAACGGATGTTTTGAAGATAAGCCGGGAAAGCCACCGATAGCATCACTGTACAAGGAACACCGTATGAACTTTGCAAAGCTTGGCATCAGCCTGGCCCGCCTGGATGTTCCCCCAGTGACACACACGAAACACGAGTTCCCCAGTCTGTACATGTCCTGATTTCGCTTCTTCACCTCGTTGAACTGTGAGGACAGTGCGTTCCAGGTCTCGTCCATCTTCTTGCTCCAATCCCCTGTCAGACTTGGGGAAAGGACCTGCTTTTCTAACCCTCTCCACTCCCTCTATTTCTCAAAACTTCTGCTTTCCCTTGCCCTGTACTTCAGCAAGATAAAAAGCAACACCCGCGATCTGAATCTGCATTGCTGCGGTCTACATCCCGGCAGTGAAGGCATGGCATACTAGGTAATGACAGGAGTGGCACTTGCCACCAAGCCTTTCACTTCTTGATCCTTAACAAGCCCATTCTTGAAGTCTTGCACAGTTGCCCCGCCTTTGTTGACGTATTGCTGGTCTGCGGTGCGTATCTCCTCTCGCAGGCGATTCAGTCGTGCCTGTTTGGCTTCTGACTCCTCATGAACTTGGTCATACTGCTGATGCACCTGGGCTGGGAAAGTCCACTTGGTCTGCGTGGACATACATTGGTCCTTAAGGGTCATATTAAGTTCACGGAGTCCATATTCTTGTGGATTTGCTAGACTGTCTGGGCCATTCACCCGACGAAAAGAAGCAAGTTTAGAGAACACATCGGCTTTTGCCATCCTGCCTGGATTAAGGCCTTCTTGACCTCCTCCAGGGCTCCGTCATCTTTGGTCACCAACGCATTGGTTGTTCGCTCTACCAGCCTGTCATCAAAATGGAAGGGATGAAAGGGTGCCAAGATCACACCTCATTTCTGAGTGAAACCCTTCTGCTGCAGTGGGTTCAGTACAGCAGCTTTGAGGTGCAAGCTCTTGCAAGCTGAAGATCAAATCACCATGAATAAGTCAAGCATAGTCATAGTCAAGCGAATTTCAGCTCGCCTGATGAATTCATGACTGCCTCGAGCAGGAGTATATGCTGGCGGCATCGCTTTGGCCACGCCAATGTGGTTCAAACTGTCCAATCACTGTGTGTGTATGCTTGGCATATGCAATGCACCTGCACTCTGTTGGCAAGTATGTTGTGTGCTTTCTTGGAGCTGTGTCAGTTGTTGTCGCAGCGGAGCATTCCTTGCTTCATGATTCTGGAGAAAACTGGGCCCAGGTGACTCTACTAATAGGGCCAGGCACGTCCTTCAGGGCCTGTGAAGGCAAGCTTTGCTATGCCTCGACGCCCTTGAATAAAGTGTTGCGCCAAAAGGCCGGCAAACAGCAAGGGTTCTTTGCAGAATTTGCTTCTACTCGCAAAGGCAAAGCCTCATAAAAAGGAGTACTTCGTGATCGGCCAATTTGGTCTGGTTCCATAACCCTCAAACAACATTCTTACAAACACAGTGCTTCACCCAGTGGTTGCTTTGTTCTGGCTTGTTCTCTTCTCTCCCCGCATGCCAAAGTTTGCAACAAACAGCCGCAAACGACCGCTTTTCACATTGTCAGGTCTTTGCCCGCCGCTGCCAGAACACCACCGCCAGAGCCACTGGCACCAAAAGCATCGCTGGGTGGCCTGATATCAGGCACTTGGTTGTGGCATGTTGTCGTCACAGGGCATGAACGTTCTGACTTAGGGCCGCAGCAGAACATATGCCACAGCTGCTGCCATTGCTGCATCTCAGGCTCATCTGCCACAGTGCTCTCCTCAGGTGGCGTTTAAATCTTGTGGCTTGGAACTTGGCACCTCTTTTTCTGTCTAGCTGAAGTGAAAATACCCTGCTACTATCACAAAGCCATGCCGACTTTGGCAAGGACCTCAGCTGGTTGAGCGGGAGATGCTGGAGCTGGAGCTGGAGGCGTGCTCTTCTTTGCTTTCACAGTGGGTTTGGCTGCTGCCTTTCCTGAGTGAAAATCCAACAACTCCAACTCAAATGGTCTCTGAAGTCATGGCCCATCTCTGCAGTCATGGCGCGCTGCCTCTGAAGCCAATTGGTCTCCTGGCCAAAAGGTGGAAGATTCGGTGGCAGTGGTTTCGATTGGACTCGTGGCACTGGTTGCTGGCCCACTTTCACTCCTCCTCGGGCACCAATGACTCCATGTCACCCGTCTTCGAGGTCTTTGAGACGGCAACCTTGCTGATGAGATCAGGTTGCCAGAAGCGTGACAAGAGCCACACAAAAATAGTGCTCAAACAACGCAGCCCTGGCACTCCTTTTCCTTGCCAACAGGCGAGCGTGACCGCTTTTCGTTAACAACCAGCCATTCACAGCTGGTTTGGAGGACTGCTAGTCCTCCTCTGAGTCAGACTCGTACCCACCCAAGCCTCAAACAGTCACATGCACCAATAACACTTGGTTTTTTTGGTTTGATCCTTTTCCAGCCATTTGTGGGATTGTTCCGCGAGTGCTTTAGAAGCAGAAAGAGAAGCAGAAACATAAGGGAAAGGAGCAAGAGAGCGAAAGGGATGGACGGAGGGAGAGGGAGCGAGTGAGGGAGGGACAGGGACAACGACAGGGAGACAGGACCAGAGTGCAAAGGAGAAGGGGCAAAGCGGAGGAGTTGGGAGAGGGAGTGGGAGAGAGAGGAGAGGGAGAGAGAGGAGAGGGAGAGAGGACGAGAAGGCAAAGGAGAAGGAGCAAACAGGAGAGAGGAACTTATATGTTTTTTTTGGGGTTTGGCCTAGGGCATTATATCTTTTAGGATTTCTCTGGGCCTGACTCAGAGTTTCACTTCTTTAGGGTTGGCTTCCGGCTTCGCTTCTTTTGGGTTTCTTCGGCGTTGCTTGCTTGCTTGCTTGGTTGCGCTGCTTTTTTTGCCGGACAGTTTTGGATTGTTTCCGGGGGTGCTTTACAAGCAGAAGTAGCAGCAGAAAAAAAGGGAAAAGGAGCAAGAGAGCGACTTTCTTGCTCGGTTATTGGTGAGAGGAGTGAGGAGAGATGAGAAGGATGACTCAGGTAGAGTAAGGGGTACTCAGGTGAAGTCGTTCCTTGCGGGCACACTCCATGTGCCTGGCTTCTTCCTTCTCTCAATTCTACCCTGAGGTGGCTCACCAAAAGCCTGCCGCATTGGAATGGCCCCTTCCTCCTTCTCTGAGTCCTACCCACGGGTGTCTCGCAAAAGGTATGTTACAGTACATTGGAATGGCCCCTTCAAAGGAAGAAGCAAAAGAAGAAAAAGCAGAAGCAAAAGCAAAAGTAAGCAAAAGAGCATAAGCAAAAGGTGAAGCAATGGCAAAAGCAGGAGCAGAAGCAAATGCAAAACACTATATACCGGAAAAAATTGCTGGAAAAAGAATATCCCACAAAAAGTACAGTTCCAAGAACGAACGAACCATGCCGCAGGTGTGACAATTTTGAATCTGCCTGCGCCGCTCGTCATGAAAATCCGGCCTCCTATGCCAGATGCTCCAGATTCTTTCTGCTCTGCAGCTGCATCTGCAGGTTTGGGGATCTCCTATCAGCCAAGCAACTCAAAGCTTTGTTGACTGTCTTGACGGCAATTTGCACTACCAATGGGCCAGCAAAACGTCCGGTCCCACCACTTCGTCCAGCAAACACGCCACACTTAGCACACGTATACATATACGGCATGTATTAAAATGATGACAATGGTGGTGGTGGTGGTGGTGGTGGTGGTGGTGGTGGCGGTGGCGGTGGCGGTGGCGGTGGCGGTGGCGGTGGTGGTGGTGGTGGCGGTGATGGTGATGATGATGATGATGATGATGGTCCCCTATTCACATGCCACACTACTGTTTTTGCCTGTTGATTTGGAGTTGAAATCGCATGCTCTTGGCGCTCTTGGTATTGAAAACAAACAGCTTCATGCTCCCCTCAAGGTGTATGCCCTCTGTCTTTGAAAAAGTCAGCTCTGCATGACTAGTGAGACGTGCTTCCAAGGTTGTTGCTCTGTGGTTGGGGGAAGGCTTCAAGCCTTCGAGTTTCTCCAATGAGTGTTTGGGTGCGTGGTAGTCACTAGCAAGAAAAGGCCAACAGGCACAGCATGTCGAAGAATAGCAGAACCTTGCCTATCACATCCTGTGACTCTGTGCTGCCTGTGTTGTATGAGAAAAGGAGCACACTTGGGCACTCTACGTATATATATATATATATACTCTATATAGTATGAGAATTGAGCATACTTGGGCATCTTGTTGCCAGACTTTTGTACATTGCTTTTGGGACAGAATCTCTCACAAATTCATCCTATCAACAACTTGGAGCATCTGGAAACGGCCAACGTCCTCTCTTGAACGCTGACTTTGAGGTCAACGCCGCGCGCAGCGCCACGTGCAGCAATCGTGTGGCAAGTTGGATGCGTGGTTCGCACCGGGTTACAATGACCCTGCCTCTTCTGTCTTAGGACGTTTCGCTTCAGGCTCAGTCCTCGGACAACGTCAAGCATCGGGTCTGGCAACCTACACGACTACAAGCACCGTAGCCGTAGTTCAAGGCAACGTGGGCAACCAACATTCCAAGCAGGATGCGGTCTGATTTGAAGCCAAGGCACGTCTGGCCCTTCGCCCCTGAGACCGGAGAAACAAATGACGTACACAGACCAAGACTGCTTGACAACTCAAGATAGTGTTGACGGCAAGATTCGATACCGGGTAGTTTTCATGTGACCATTGCCCGGCTCTTGTGGCTCAGTGAGGGATGATCGGTCTCTAGCGCAGCCAAGAATCCACCAACCTTAAGGAAGCTTGGGAGTTCCTGAGCTTTGGATGCAGCACCGTCATGCCCATGTGTGCACAACAAAAGCGCAGGGATGAGTCCAAAGTTTTTGGGAAAATCCTGGAAATTGAACAAAGGTGCCACAAGAATCCCAAAGTAAAATGGGCATCAATGTATGTTCACCAGGATGTTTCCATCCTCAAGCAATTTGCTGCTTGGAGCACGTCGCCCAACGCAGCTCAGGTGCTCGCTTCGTGTTCTTCGCCGCAGCGCGCTCCGCCACCAGCGAAGCCAACCCACCCTGAACCCCAGGACCCGAACTCTGGAAGTACGCAACATAACAAAACACAAACTCAAACTCTGTTGATACCAGTCTGGTTGCACGCTTCCCTAGTCTTTGCACAAAAAACGCCAACCGTGAACAGTGAACACTAGAATCCGAGCTGCTTTGTTGGCCGCATCCTTTCTCTGGCTTTGCTGCAGCTTCGCAAACTCAGCCAACTCCTTTGCTTTGGCGCGACCCTCCTGAAAGCACATGGATGCGTGAATCGATGTTCTAGGACTCCAAGCGGAACAAAAGGCTAAAGTGAAGTGCTGATGCCCAGCGCAGAGTTTGTGTAGAATGGACGAACGTCCTTGGCACGTTGGTCCAAGAACTCCTTGTTGGGATCCTGACGCAAAAGCTTCAGATCTCTCGTGGTCTGCAATCCCAAATTTGTAGTTGGGTGTCAGATATGGAGATCTTGTAATCCTCAAGTGGATAGAATATGGACCGCATGAAGCCCTCGTGACCACGAGCCTGCTCTTTTGGTAACTGGCCCCAGATGGCCGCAGGCACAAACTCTCCATAGTCAGCATCTTGCTTATTTTGCTTGGCGAATGTGTCCTTTTGGACGGCTCCCAGGAAAGCTAAGGCACTGGTAGTCTCAAATCCCCCAACTCATGTGACTACTTTATACTACTTTAGACGATTTCACGTCGTGAAGTGTTCGTGCCGAGCTGTTTGGCGGCTGTGTTGCTTTGGGAGAGTGATATTACATGTATGTATGCACATTTCCATAACATATACAGTAAGTGTATGCAAATTGAATCAAATTGAAATCTAATCCTCTTTGGCCATCGACCTTCACGTGTCACAAGTCCTCGTCTGTGATGCCAGCAGCTTGAGCCACTTCCTGGCACTCCACCAGGATGGCAGTTGCACAGGTACTACTCAGCAGACCTAGCACTTTCAGCCTCGTCGAAGCCGTCGTCTGTCGTCAAAGAGACATCTTGCGTGGCACGCTTCTCCCAGCCTGCGAACAGTAGGGCAAGCGAGCTCCAGGCTCCGCTGCTGCACTTAAAGGAGCAATGAAGGTGATTATGGTACAACAATGTACAAAACCTCGAGCAGCAATTAGGTTGGTGAGCACCCTGCGCAGTGCAATTTGGATGCCGGCGGCGCATCACAATGACAACACTTTTGGACGTTTACATCGTCTCATTCTGCCTGCCGTAGCAAGCCCTCCGCCATAGTCTCGTGCAGACAGCCCCGCCATCGCACGGGCCTAGGCTTCAAATGGCAATTGCTTTGTTCAGAACATGAGTCGTGCACATCATCAACAGCCATTGGGGCCTCGCTCAGGCATCAAGGCGCCATGGAGACGCATCTTGAGCCGAAAGTGCCCAGAAAATTACAGTGTCTCCCTCCCTCCCTCCCTCCCTCCCTCCCTCGGTCTCTCTCTCTCTCTCTCTATCTATCTACCTCTATCTCTATCTCTATCTCTATCTATCTATCTCTATCTCTATCTCTATCTCTATCTCTGTATCTGTATCTATATCTATATCTATATCTATCTATCTATCTATCTATCTATCTATCTATCTCTCTCTATATATCTATATCTATATCTATATCTATATCTATGTCTACATCTACATCTACATCTACATCTAATCTATCTATCTATCTATCTATCTATCGATCTCTCTCTCTCTCTCCCTCCCTCCCTCCCTATCTATCGCTCCCTCTCTCAATCTCTATCTATCTAACTAACTAACTGACTAACTAACTAATAACAATTAACTATATAATTAACTAACTAACTAACTATCTAACTATCTATCTATCTATCTATCTAACTAACTATATATATAACTAACTCTCTCTCTCTCTCTAGCGCGCATGACCTGATTTGGTCCTACATACTACGATACTACGCACTGACTACACACAAGCATCTTGTCATGGTTGAAGTCGGGGGACTGACGGGGATGACTGCAAGCTAATTCTGCATAAGTGGCACCCATTCAGCCCATTCGTGGCTGTTGCTGAGTGTTCTAGGGAACGAAAAGAAGAATGGACCTGATAGCCAAAATTTGACGTAGGACTTACAGTGAGGAGAAGGGACTTCCGCATGCACTCTCTTTCAGTCTCTAGTCCCTCTCTCCCTCTCCCCCTCTGTCAGGTCCCTAGTGTCCCTAGTGCCTAGCCCAATTTTGACAAAGCGGCATGGCCATGGCACAAAAATTCTGAGAATCCGCACAGGCCGTTGCCTTGTCTCGCCCCACTCAGCCAGCACCTGACGCTAAGGAATCATTCTTTGACGGATACACTTTGACGGATAACAAATAACAGCAGGTGCCTCCTCAATGCTGCTTTTGCCTCTGGTGGAAGGGGAAAAACGAAACAAGTGCAGCACTGGTACTTCCATCCCATCAGAGAGCATAGAACTGACCCGAGCCGTTCAGAAGTCTCAGAAACACAGCCGTGTGGCCATCGAGCACCATAGCCACAGCTGCAGCCTGGCTTCTTCGCAAACGGGTAATCCCTTGCCGTTCAGTCGTACGACTCCGCATGACCGGCGCCTGCTGCAAAGCCTTTCGTGCTGGCTCCTCTTTCCCGTTCTTGGCCAAACGGCGGGCCAAATCGCGGCCGGTCTCAAGAGCCAGCCTCAGCAGCCGGATTTCCAGCGGCCGGGTCATGGGGACGGCGACACGGTGAAGACCGAAAAAGGGGCGAAACGGCAGTTGATACAGACCAAGAGATCCAAGAGGTTCTGCGGTGAAGAGGACCGAACCAAAGGAGGTGGTACTCATCCGAGGTACTGTCCAGATCTATGTAGCTCAAATTGTTCAAGCTTCTCGGCGTATGTGAGTGTCTTCGGTCGTCATGCAACGGGTATGGCTCAGGAAAGGGGTACTTCAGCCCCCTCGGAAGCCATGCTCCGACTCAAGAAACTATTGTTCGGTTGAGTCGAGAGTCCATGCTAGGCATTCAGAGCAAGTGATGCATCTGGCCCGTGTAAATACTCCTCAACCTACCATCGGGAGCACAAATGGGCTAACATGCCATCTCTCCAAGAGAGAGCTTGTAGCATCACTCCAAAACATCGAGGTGTAACCCTCGCTCAAAAAACTGCCAACCGCTGTGGCGGCAGTAAGATGCATTGAATTAAAGAAACTCGGCCACGGCAATGTGCTGACAAACCCGACACGAAAGGAGATTGCAGAATAGGAATGGGGTGCCAGTCGGATTGGGGTCGCCCCGCTTTATGCCAGTGCCCCAAGTTTCTTGCAAGTGGAGTGCTCATACAGGATGCACCCGGAGCAGGAGAAAATGAAGACATCAAAACGAAGCCGCCACATAGGTCATCTACCGAAGAGAAGCTGACACTGGGACCTGCAGTGTGTTCCCAAAGTCCTGCAACAATGGTGGTACAAGCGCAAGCTCTTTGCCTTTGCATGTGCCCACCTACGAGTACCATAATCTACCCTAGGCTAAACCTTTAAAACATATGTATGTATATATATATATATACCTAATTCTAATATATATATATATACACACCTAAAATGACTTGGTGAAAAATCATAGGCTTCCAGGGTGGCTGGAGTCCCGAAATGTTCCAAAATCCCCGAGCAAAAGCTGTCCTGACCGCCCTGCTGAGCAATGGCACGCTCAGCCAAAAGCATAATCTGCAGGGGTCAGGACCAGGAAACAAAGCTCTAAGAGATGGCACTGGACAAATGGATAGAAGCTGCATCTGTGGAATCCAAAGAGCCTTCGCAATGATCTATATAACATTAATTGCAGTAACAAGAAAGGAGCCTTGTGAGCCCGATGCAACTTGACTTCTTGCATACGACACGCCACCGCCAACCTTGCCAACGATTTCCGTGTTCGTCATGGTTCTTGGCAACGGCTGCCGACGCTCATTCACGTACTTGTTGTTGAAGGGCGCATTCCAATTGTTGCCAGCAATCCTTAGATGCAAAGTAGGAGTCTCGATCTACCAGCAAGCATCGTGATGTTTCAAGATATGCATGTGGATTTTCTTACCTTTGGCCTGCTGTTAAACTGCAAGACAGCCTTGGCTTGATTCGCCTAGAATCCGGTGTGTGAGGTCATGCGGAATGGCATTCGCTCCGTGCATCACTCCAATGACTCCCCCCAAAGTAGCCGCCTGGTTGTCACAATCAAAGCCCGCTGCAATACCCACGCCCACAGTCTTCTTGAAGTCACCCTCGCCATACAAAAATGACATTGCGCCCATCAGCCCGTTGATCATGGAAGAGACTCCGCAGTTCCAAGGGAAGCCTGGCGCAAAAGAACAATACCTGATCGTACACCAAAATATAGGGATGCCAACCAGGTAGCTGCAAAATTCGAGTGTTCAAAAACAAGTTACAGTATGTCAGTATGTGACATAGCTCTGAATAATGCTTAAAGTAGGTCGTGAGTGGAGTGCAAATGAGTGCAACAGGTGAAAACATTTGCACCTCCACAATCTGAAGGATACCGGGCATACTTGTTCTTGATCTTGTACCAAGTTGGCTTCCAATCATGCGGGCTCTCGTTCTTCCACCTGCGAATGTCCTTCAAGCCCTGATGAAAGGGACTATCTCCAGGAACCTTCGACATGCCGATCTCGTACAACTTGTCGACGTCGCTGGAAAAAAAGGCACCCGAATACAGGGCGGCATAAAAGCGAGTAGGATGAGTTCCCCAAGAGTCACTTGTGATGCGTGCACCCCACTCAGCCCTCTCCACTGCCTTGTCAATCATGCCAGGGTACACTGCACTCCAGAGCTCATTCACCAACTGCGGATCAATGGTCCACCAGTAACCTGTGCACATCCGTGCGCATCCGTGCACCAGTAAACAAGAATAGAAATTGCGGTTTCAGGGCAAGCTGGGACCTGTGTGCAAAATCATGCAAAATCTCTCTTCTTCACACCAAAACGTTTGCAAGAGGATCCTTATTTTGCAGCAACAGCTGGCCCAGCTTCAAAACCGTGCCCAAGTCTAATCGCGTGACGATTCTGCGACTGTGATCCAGTCTGCGGTGGTAATTGACCTCGATTCATGTTCTCCCTAGCCACCCTGTTGGCAAACCACAGCGCGTCACCACCATTCACGGTGATGTGGACATAGTTTTTCCAGTATCCAGCGATTTGCTTGTAGTTCAAGTCAAGGCCATGATTCTCCAGAGCATGAAGTGTCACAAACTCGATATCCGTGTCGTCATCCGTGTACGCACCTGCAATTGAAACAGACTATCGGACCAACTAGCCGCAGAGCCAACCAATTAAGAGGCGGCCCTAGCGGACATGCATGTAGAATCTCAATCGGACGCACAAGTCTTTGGGTGTGCCTCCCTCTCTATCTCTCTATCTCTTTCCGCGCCCTACGTACTGCACTTCAAATAAGTTTGACAAATCATTAAAGTATTAAAGCATTGGCTCTCCAGCCCTTCAGCCTTGCAAGCGGTTCAACCTTTGAGGGATTCGGCCACGGCCATCGGCGTTGACTCGCAATCCAGCTGCTCGGCCACTTCCCAGGTCATAGTAAGTCTGGGGCTCCAAGGGCATGGGCTGATCATTGTACTGGAATTCGAAGGGTAAACCCATGAAGTTCCCCACCAACTGTCCGACCTAGATGGCGCAAACTATGCAAAGGCCTCCGTCGAGCGGTATAACAGGTCACGTTTGCAAGAAGATGCTTGACCTCATCTCAATGCTGACGAGCTACCCAGTATCCCATGATCTTGTCATGGAGCACACCCTTGCTAATGGTCGCACTACCCCATCCTGACTTGGTCAAATTGCCCGCCTTGGCCTGGGTCAAGTTGCTGCCGCGCAAAGTGGGCGAAGACTGTCCCAAACCAACTGGCATCCCGAGGAGAAAAAGAAACTGAATCAGCTGAAGCGTCAGCGCCATGGGACTTCCACTTCAAATCGAACCCTGCTGCCTGGCACTCTTAAAGCTTTCGACTAAATAAACAAGCTGCTTGAGCCAAAGGCAACAAGAACCGAGAGAGGAGGGAAAATTGCGTGCAATATTGCTACAAGCGCTCTGTTTCCTCTTGCTCACTATGCAGCCGAATTGCTGGCAGGGCATTTGCAAGACCAAGTCCAGAATGGTCAGCACGGCTTGTTGGGAGGCCTTCGGCCAATCTTGAATCGGATGAACGACTTGACCCAACTCAGGAGCCCTTGCCAAGAGCCCCTAGTAGCGTCCTTGCCCCTAGTAGCGATGCCAGGAGCCGCTAGTAACGTCCTTGTAGCGATGCCAGGAGCCCCTAGTAGCGTCCTTGTAGCGATGCCAGGAGCCCCTAGTAGCGTCTTTGCCCCTAGTAGCGATGCCAGGAGCCCCTAGTA